GGGGGTACTTACCGTGTGAGTTGGGCTCCGGGAGGGTTTCCCGGGGGACGAGGTGCATGACTGTGGTTTTGCTGAGGGGGAGCCCGAGGGCGCCCAGGGTCACGTTGCTGTGGAGGAAGCGCCCTTGGAAGATGAGCCGCAGGATTTCCGCCCGCGCCACCGCCTCGTCCGACCAGTCTGCAACACACAACCGCACGAAGCGTCAGAAACAGTGACAATACAAAAAGAAAAAAGAAAAAAAAAAGAAAAAAGAAAAAAAAAAAACCTCGAAAAAGAAAAACGGAAAACCCCGAGCTGGCCGGGAAAATCGTCATTCGTCGCGCTCGCGGTTGCCGGTCGTTCGAGGATTTCCCCGCTTTCCCGTACTGCCGTGCTCAGGAAAAACGCCGTATGAACATTCAGGCGTTGCCAATTTCCCTTCGATAAAACACGAATTTCCTGGCGAACTTATGAATATTTTCCTTTCGATTTTCAGGTAATTGTGCGCACAATTTCATCTGAAGTTCCTGAAAATTTCAAGGAAAAATATTCATAAATTTCCTCAAAAATAAACGTTTTATCGAAGGAAATGTGGCAACTCTCGAATGTTCACACGGCGTTCTTCCTTAGCGCGGCAGCGTAGCCAGGGTGTCCAGTTTTTTCGTTTTGGGATATGATTTTCGACCGCTAAATTCTGATTGCATATTTTGTCCAAATCCTGATCAAATCCTAACTTTGCGGAGAGCAATCAACGGACGGATAGCGGATGGTTAACGGAAAATAAGCGGACGGCCGACTTTTCTCAAATCCTGATTTTACGACCGATTTTTCTTCAAATCCTAATGAAATCGGGATTAAATCCTGACAGACCTCAAATCCTGATGCTATACACCCTGCGTGCTGTTGTGCTAATAAGGAAGAACGCCGTGTACACGTTCGAGAGTTGCCAAATTTCCCTCGATAAAATGTTTATTTTTGAGGAAAGTTGTGGATATTCCCCTTGAAATTTTCAGATAATTTAGATCAAATTGAGGAGAATGAGAAAAGAAATGAAAGAACAATTCATTTCCTTTTAAATGAAGACAAGTTCACTACATTAGCTTAAAAATCGCAAAGTTATGAAGGTTTAACACAAATAAAAAATATCAACCCCCTATTAATTTTAGAATGGATTTTTCCTCTTGGAAAAATATCTTCGAACACTATTTTCTAAAACCACAAGGCTTGCATTAGCGTGACAACAAAAAACGACTTCGAAACACTGTTCAGGAGTTGTCTGATTGCAGAGAAAACGAAAGTAATTGAGTAGTCTCGCGATATGTCGAGATTTCTGCACTGAGTTTTGCTTGTTCGACTTTCACGAGCGTATGTGCTTGCGGTTTTTCTGTGATCACTGATTGCCACCCAAATTTAATTCTGTGTTTTGGTATGAAATAGGCTAAAGAACTTGAGTAAGAACAACTTTTTTTTATATACTACCAAAACAAAGAATTAAATTTGGGTGGAAATCAGTGGTCTAACAAAACCACAAGCAGTTGCTCGTGTTAGTCCAACTGGCAAAACTCAGGGCAGAAGTCTCGACATATCGCGAGGCGACTCAAATCTCGATGTTTTGGTTGTGTTTGCAATCAGACAACATCTGAACATCGAGATAAATCGATTTTACCGCGTACAATTACGGCACAACGTCCAACCGAACAGGATCTACGGATGTCGCTTTCGCAATTATTTCGGTTTCGAACTAAGTGCTCTAGCTGCTTGGTGCCAAGTTGAGGTCGATAGTTATACACGTGGATATTAAGCGCTTGACAATTGTATTAGATGTTTTGTAGGAAGTAAATTTATACGATTGACCTAATGGAAGGTGGTTAATTTTAAAAATTAGAAAGGAGGAGTCGAGGAAACCGAGTGGTGTGTGGAGATCGAACAAAGAAAGTAAATAAGGGAGTGAATTCGTTGAATGAAATAAGATTATCATTCATGGGAAGATAAGTGCCTCAGAGAAAATGTAAATACATATATCTTGATCAGATACTATCCAGCACATAGTCATTCAAAAAATTTGTCTGTGCCCAAAATCATACATCATTTCAAGATATTGCAATAAAAAAAGTAACTGAGCAGGTTGAACTACACAGACAAATAAAGAGTTTAGCAGTTGGACCAGGGATGATTTTCGAGGGTTTTGGAAGTTGTGAGAAAAAGTGGGGTGCAAGTTAATTTTTCAGAAAATACGCAGTATTTTCCACGTAAGTTCAAGAGGATAGACTTTGATTTTTTCTTTTTTGAAAGGAGACACGAGAATAAACGCTGATTTTTCTAAAGGAGAGAGTCAATATAGTTAGATCTTTCGAAGCCCGATTGAATTACTGCACAAGCTGTTATTTGTTGTAGAAGAATTTCACCACATACAGGCGAGGAACGAACGGAAATTAAAAGATCTCAATTGGTAGAATGCAATTGGTTCTTAATTCCCGTACGTTGACCACCTAGATAGCTCGAAATCGTCTAAAGTGAGATGCGACCATTATAACTCATGTGCCACGGTGCGGTATTAAGACGAAATGAGGGCGATTTCCACTTGTAACTATCGTTAAAGAATAACTAAGAACGGCCGGTACTTACACACGCGATTTAGATATAGGTAGGTTTACATATAAATCCTAAAAAAAGAGTCATCGAATAGAGAAAAAAAGAAGAATAATTGAGTGCCAACACAGCCGAAGATAGGAGAGGCGGGATCCGACCGTGATTTTAATTTTTCTCCCGCATCTGAGCGACAACTCACTAGCAGCATAATAAAGCGGAGCATTGCGAGTTCACGCTTCGCGCCTTCAATTTTGGAGATACCACACGGACATCCATTAAGTACGAATAGTTGTATCTCTGCGCCGTCAGCAACGAGCGTCATTTTCCTTGCTCCATTTTCATATTGCGTTTGCTTCCGTTTGTCTTATTTGTAGCGGTGCTTCAAGGGCTACGTGAGCAGCACGACCGAGGATACGAGAAACGTACTCCGGCCTTGCTTTTAACTTTTCTCCCGCATCTGAGCAACAACTCACTAGCAGCATAAAGCGGAGCATTGCGAGTTCACGCTTCGCGCCTTCAATTTTGGAGATACCACACGGACATCCATCAAGTACGAATAGTTGTATCTCTGCGCCGTCACCAACGCGCGTTAAAGTGCTGTCGTTTCTTTTAAATTGGAGAAATGTTGAGGTGAGGTTTGCTCGTGATATGCAATGATGTATCCAAATAAATGATAAATTTTAAGACAAAAAGTGTTTAAAGGTCTCTCAAGGGCCTTACTATGCGCACGTCTAATAAAATGGCATTTTCGTAAGGGTTGTGTCGTACCGGGGAAAGTTTTTAAGCGCTAGGGGTGGAAATGCCGAAGAAAGTACGATTTACCATCAAAAACACAGAAATAGCATAGATACTACTTCCAAAACTATCAAAATCGTTATATTTAGATACGGGTCAATTTGACCTAACTTCGTGTATAAAAAAATCTCGGGAGCCGGAGGGTTATAAGCCACTTTTTTTGGTTTGAACACGCACTCATTCCTCCTCTGAAGTATAGATTTCAGCTAAATTTGGCAACTATGCGAGGACCCGATAAAAATTGGTGCCCCGATGGCTGATCATCATATGGCCACAGCAGAACGGTCTAATGTGAGCGGGGGCTCCAGCGCTGTCACATATGGTCACCAACAGGACAGTTTTGCTGCTTTTAAACCCTGAAAAAGGAGATGAAAACACCCGATCTGGCAATCTTGGCACCACAGTTGCTAGATCCGGTGAACATTAATACTTCCTCGGCTGTTCGGAGTTTATTTCAGAGAGTTCCGTTCCGCGAATCGTGTTCTACGTGAAATTCTACTGTAGAATTATGTAGAACACTTAAATTCGTAGTAAAATTTTTTTAAAGCAAGTCTGTTCACTGCATCTTCAGTCAGATAGTAGAGTCCCTTTATACTGAGAGGCAAGACAATGTGAATCCATTTCTGATTGGTTCCCGTATTCCAGGCCTTCACAGTGTCACAAACGGGAATAAAGATTACATTTTCACCGACTGCAAAGATTATATTCTGGAATGGACCAGGGAATTACGGGTTCGGCAAGGAACAAACGGAATGAGAGAAGGAACGGAGAAAGGAATTTGAGAATGGGCCGATCAAAGATTACGAAAAACGTTCAATTTCTATAATCTTTATTCCCGTTTGTGACTTCATGAGGGGGTGTTGTCTTGACTCTCAGTATAAAGAGACTCTAAGCGATAGTAGAAGAGATCCCCGGTTTCTGGCACAATTCCTTGATTTTTCTCTGATTTTCCTCAACATTTTTCATTCCCAGATACATACTGATTTTCTCGCTTATTCCCGGTCTAGACACCATGGTCCATGCTCTCGCTGTCCACCTAGCTTGCGGCAGGCCCGTTGGGCGAATTTACGCGCAAAATCCGGCAAACACGGACTCCAACGGAATCAGCGACGGGGGACGCTATTCATCTGACACACGTAGACTATGCGTAGGCCTTCGAGCGGGCCTGACGGCCGGGTGTAAAAAACCAGGGAAAGTGACTCACTTAAAATACTGACTATTCAGACACCTCCCATTACTCACCGTGAAATTGAGTAACCGTTGCGCAACTCTCAGCCAAGTTCAAGAATACCACGGTGAAACCCTTACTGAAGAGAGGAAGAAACTCAATGTGTCCTCGCAGGATCATGAAGCGACGCGTTCGGAAAGACCCGCTTTAATCTTCTTGGAGGTTATTTTGAGTGGAGTACCTTTAGAGGGAGAGTATGGACAACTCGAAAATTTGGAGGTCAGGTTTGATCAGGTCATGTAGGTCTTGGGGCCCAAAAGGGCTTCCAACCTTTGAACTCGAATTTTCTAGTGGTACTAATTTTCATGATTTTTACTACCCGTCGTTTCATAACTGATCAAAAATTATAAAAGCACGTAGAAAACTTTAATTACGCATACATTTTCTCGATTACACATTCTTAATCCTTGACGACGCTCGTTTCACAATGCGCTGTCGGCTGTATTGATTAATATTTCAAATTCATAGGTTGGCAGCGGCACTTTTCTAGTGATTTTCATTTTTCACGTTGTCGCCCTCTTGGGCCCGAAGAGCTACATAAATTGAGTTGTCCATACTCTCCAGTGGCGTGGCGTGAATTGCGATATATTGATTGTTATGCCATTTAAACCTATGAAAAAAGATCGATTATCAGGGTGTTCGCAGCGAACACCTTAGTGTTCGATTCTTCACGATAGCTTCAAATGGCGAGATATCGATAATCGATTATTCACGCCACGCCACTGATACTCTCCCTATAAAGGTGCTCTTATTTTGAGTTATTGCTACCCCTCCGCTTTTTTGGATAAGGTAATTGGACGATATTTTCATTTTCAAGGGACCTAGTCCTGACCCACAAGGGAAACGATACATTAAAATTCCTCAGACGAAAGAACGTGACCACACAGAAAAAAAGTAACACATTCACTTGCGTAGAAAAAAAAGGCGAATGTTACCAAATGGTAAATTCTGTAAAGAGTTCACTTGATTTTTGACACCTACACTGCCGTGCTGAGGGAAAACGCGTTCATACGGCGTTCAAACAATCAGGAGTTGCCAAAAAATCTTCTGATAAAATGTTTATTTTTGTGGATAGTTACGGCTCTTTACGCTCGAAATTTCCGGATAATTTGAATCTGATCTCAAATAAAATGTTCTGAAAAATTCGAGGAAAAATATTCGAAGAAATCTCTGAAAATTCATATTTTATCAAAGGAAATTAGGCAATACCTACGCCACATACGCGCAATTTCTAATAAAACTACGATTAAATAAAGGAGTATATACGACTGTCTTACCTTCTGGCCAATTATCAAAAACATGTTGTGCTATTTCGCCTGCTGAGTCGCTAGGGCTACATAAAAATTCTCTCGTCTTGCCGCTGACTAGGATTAGCCTTAAGTTTATCTGAAACAAAAAGAAGCAAAATATTTAGGATGCTGAAAAGACGATAGTCTTGAGTCCACACATACAAATCGCTTTTAAAGCGCGCCCGGGCGCTCTGCGCCACCTGATCGCCATTCTTGTCTATAGACCCAGAGGTCATCTGGTAAATAGCATCTTATAATTTCATCTTTACTGCCATCTATCCACCATTTTATTTTTTTTCCACTCGGATTAAGGCAAATAACCCAGGGTGTATACTAAAACAGACTGGCCAAAAATCAGTACTTTTACAATACTTTTTCAGTACATTCCCAAGAAATTTAGTGCCTCCTCAATAGAAAAAATCAGTACTTTTTCAGTACCCTCATTGTACGAAATTCGAAAATTTTCGAAAATTTGAATTTCTCTCTAGAATTTCGACAAAAATTCCGGACCTTCTTGCGGAATTTCCGCACTTCTTCAGTACTTCCGAACCGCCCCTCAAAAATCAGTACTATTTCCGGACTATCCGGAAATTCTGGACTTGTAGACACCCTGATAACCTGAAAATAAACTTCAAGAGTTTGACGAGAGTAAACGGGAGGCAAATAAAAAGAAAATTTCGCGCTAGAAAAGTCTTGTTCTCACTATCCTCAGGTATTTTTTCATTATTCGGTGATTCTGTTCTCCGGTGAATCCGGGTATATTTCGGAAGTTTCCCCCGGAACTTTTGAAAAAATCGGAATTTTTCTTCCGGACCCTGGGCAATCGGAATCAATTCCGGAACCCGTGGTAAAATAAAATGGCAGCACTGGGCACCGTGAAGGACCGCGCTCGGATTCGTATCAATACTCGCTCGGATATGAATCGGGGGTGGAAAATCGGAGCCCTCCCTAAAAACGCAATATCGCGGGAGCATCCCTCCGAACCCTTCCGTCGAAACCCGACGTCCGCGCCGCCCGCCCCGTGACGCAGAGCAGTCTAAACTAGGTCAACCCCTCCCACCCTCGACCACCCCCTCCGTTTTCCCAACCCTCCCCCGCCGCCGCACAGTAGTTCGAGTCAATCAGAGAGGTCAGACATGAAATTTTCGACAAAAACTGCGACTTTCGGTGTTTAAATCGTCAAATTTTAAAGTTCAAGGGATGCTTCTCGAAGAAAATTTTACTAAGAAACCAATGGCGCCACTTTCAGACCCTCAAAATTTTGTATAAACGGAGTTATAAGCGTTCAAAGTTTCCAAATTTTGTCCGGCCTTTCCTATTGACTTGACCCACTGTGCGCCGTTCGCGGTTGTTGCCGCTCCAAGTTTGTTTTTTTCTCTCTCTCCCGTTTTTGTTTCCTTTTTTAAAACTTATTCGGGGCAGGCCAAACGGTGAAATATCGAAGTCGATTAAGGGATGTCCCTAGCTCGGGTTCATCCCTTTTATTATACTCCTTTATTAACCCCCCGCGACGAGCTTAATCCCTTTGAATTCCGAGGGGCTCAAGGGCGACGTGCTGCGTTTCAAAAACAACACCCCCCCTGCCCGCCCCTCTCACGAGGATGCTCCACGGTAAGCTCGGCGGGGCGGGGGGGAGGGGTTTCCAGGAATTAGGCCCCCGGTGAACAGGGTAGGCAATTTGCTTGCATTTTTCTCCAGTTTCATGATCACCAGTAAGCAATTAAAGGTCGGTGGCGTGGCGTGCGTTACGAGACATCGGTTGATCTGCCGTTTTAATACGCACAAATCGCATTCGATACATCGAATGGTGAAATTGTATCGATATCGACCGGTACAACATGTAAAAATAGCCTCAGAAGTCAATTTCAGGCGGTCTACTAAAACAGGCTGTCCAAAAATCAGTACTTTTACAGTACTTTTCCAGTTCATTCCCAAGAAATTCAGTACCTCTTCAACGGAAAAATTCAGTACTTCTTCAGTACCGCCAATTAACGAAATTCGAAAAATTTCAAACATTTGCATAATTGCGACCAAAATAAAAAAAAAAATGAAAAAAATCCGGACCTTCTTGCGGAATTTTCGCACTTTTTCGGTACTTCCGGACCGTCTTTAAAAAACCAGCACTATTTCCTGACTTTCCGGAAATTCCGGACTTGTAGACACCCTGAATTTAGAAATCCCAGGGAAATTTTTCAGCTTTTCGGCGGTTTCCTCCGATTCCTGACTGAGTATTGAACACATTTGAAGAAAAAGGAAGTACATCCATGGCGACGTGAGCCTTGTCATTCTGTGTTTTTATGAATCTCAAGGCTCGTGCCGGATTGGATATAGTTCACTGAAGAAAAGAGCCAGGGGCTGTATAAAAATACCGTCCGTTCCGGGCTCAGAGGCCGAAAGTTCCGGGTGCTGGAGCGGTGGCTTTGATTGCGCCGGATGCTACGCCCGGTACATTCGGCTTCCACGGCCGGAATTTTACTTCAGTGAGCTTTCTGATTTATATACGTCCTATTAATATCAACGGTATCGAGGCAGATAAATTTCAAGGAACGAGTAAATATTTTTCTCCGGTCGAACATGCGTCATGTTCGACTCGGTTCGTTATCTCGTCCGTCGCACTCTCTGTCTCTGAGGCGAAGCACGAAAGAGGCTGCCGACCGGAAATTACGCGCCGTTATCACCGAAATTTGAAAGTTCACTCTGGGTGTCGCCGCCGCCTCGGCCACACAGTGGATCGAGTCAATAGGAGAGGTCGGACAAAATTCGGAAACTTTAAACGCTTACAACTATCCGTTTATGCAAAACTTTGAGGTTCAAAATTGACGTATTTATGCTAAATGGAACTAAGTGCACGTGGAAAGATGGGGTGTGCTCATTCCAGGGTTGCCAGCCAAATTATATTTTTCCATTCCCTGACTTTTCCCTGACTTTCCAATATTTTTCCCTGACTTTTAAGTATTGATCTGACGCAGTCTGTTAAAGTGAAAAGTAGTCAGTTGATCCCGCAACGCGAGCCCGAGACCGCCCGCGCCTAATTCCACGAAAAATCAGAAAGATCCCTGACCAACACCGAAATTCCCTGACTTTCCCTGACTTTTCCCGGTTGATTTTTTCCCCTGACTTTTCCCGGTTTTCCCGGTCGCTGGCAACCCTGTCATTCGTTGAGGGCCATAAGAATGAATGGGAATTTAAAAGCGCCAGTGAGGTCAGCGGCGAAGAAGCCGCCGTCGCCCAGCATTAACCCATGAATCCTGTCCACAACGCTCTTGTCACATGTCCACGGCTCAAGAGTTAGCGCTCAGTTCCTTTTCATTATTTTTAATCAAGCTCACCACGAGGCCCACTCCATCTTTCCACTTGCACATAGTTCCTTTTAGCATAAGTACGTCCAAATGTGGCTCCGCTGGTTTTCTCGCGCAATCATCGCCCCTTGAAATTTGAAATGTGACGAAATAAACATCATTTGCAGTTTTAGTCAAAACTTGTATGTCCGACTTCGAATATTGATTTGCTTCCTTGTGCGCCGCCGCGATAACGCACCGACCAACAGGCGACAGATCCGGCGCCCGCGCCTGCATCAACTTCGCATCGAAAAAGCTCGAAACTTTCGCTGAAAGCTCCCATAACAGCTGCAAGTCGACAACTATGCTCGGAGCGCCGTTCAAACACTCCGAAGTATCGGCCCCGGTCATTTTGTCATCATCATTTGGACGTATTTCTGTCAAACGGAACTATGTGGATGTAGACATGAGCCCTGAGGCCCATAAGAATAGATGTACAGCAGGGCTCACATCATAATGCACACAGTTCCGTTTGATAGAAATACGTCCATTTTCGTCATTACTCCTCGACTTTGTTCATCGTCTCCAGCGCGCGCTTTCTCCGTATTTCTCTGAGTTTCTTTCGCGGAAAATTGAGCGCGATTGCCGCTCTAATTGGCGAGGCGTGAATGATCGATTATCGATAATTCCCTATTTAAAGCTACGGCAAAAAATCGATTATTAAGGTGTTCGTTGCGAGCATCCTGTTCATCGATAGTTTTCCGTAGGTTAAAATGGCAGATCAATCGATATATCGCAAAGCACGCCACGCCACTTAAACACGCGCACGAAAGTGTGTGACACCTCTCTTCGGAGCTAAATCAGGGTGTCTACTAGAACAGGCTGGCCAAAAATTGGTACTTTTACATTACTTTTTCGTTACATTCTCAAGAAATTCAGTGCCTCCTCGACAGGAAAATTCAGTATCTCCTCAACAAGAAAATTCGGTACTTTTTCAGTGCCTCCAATTGAAGAAATTCAAAAAATTTCAAAGATTCGAATTTCTCGCTTGAAATGCGACAAAAATGAAAAAAATTCCAGACCCTCTTGCGGAATTTCCGCACTTCTTCAGTGCTTCCGGACGGCCGAGAAAACCGGTGGCACCATCGTGTTTCTCGCGAACTTTCAGAAAATAATCAATAGTCAAATCACAAATTCCTCACACATCGACGGTGAGACTACCAAACCACGTATCTCGGTTTGCGACGTCGCAGACTTCCTGTCATACTTTATTTTTTAAATGAAAAACTACTTAACATCCAGTCTTGCAAATTTCTGTGATTTTTCCTCTTTGTGCGCAGAAAATTCCGTGAAAATTTCAAGGAATGATATTGATTTGGTCTACTTCAAAAAAATAAAATGTGAGCGTAGATTTTTAAACACCGCAAACGAGATACGTGGTTTGGTAGTTTCACCGTCGACATCCAACATCTCCACTTTCCCAGTAAATTCGGGTTTTCTCGGAGGAATCTTGGCAACGTCTGATGGCTCATACGGCGCTCTTCCTTAGCACGGCAGTATGGCGTCGACGCTACGGTTGCCCGAAAACCCTACTCACGACGAGCGCGTATTCCATCGACGAGTACACCGCTCTGTCGACGAAAGGGCGTAACTCTCTTCCAACATGAGCCCTGGTAAGCATAGTATTATACGGAGAACAGGGCTCACGTGGAAATTGAGATACGCCCTTCAGCGGAGAAAGTGGCGTGGCGTGAATGATCGATTATCGATATTTCCTCATTTGAATCCGCGGTAAAGAATCGATTATTAAGGTGTTCGCTGCGAACACCCTGTTAATCGATCCTTTACCATAGGTTTCAATGGCAGATCAATCGATATATCGCAAAGCACGCCACGCCACTCAGCGGAGCCCGCGACCGAGGCCGGTGACGAGAAAGTTAAACAAAGGTTCGGCGTCGGGAGTCTGAGACTACGCTATCGTGCAAAGGAAAAACACCGTTTGCGCCGTCAGACGTTGCCAAGTTCCCTCCCAGAAAACCCGAATTTACTGGAAAAATCGTGGATATTATTTTCCCAAATTTTGAGACAATTTTGAACGCAATCCGATCTAAAATATCTGAAAAGTTCAAGGGAAAATATGAATGGATGTTGTCAAAAATACATGTTCTGTCCAGGGGAAATTTGGCAACTCTCGAATATTCATTCGGCGTTTTTCTTCGGCACGGCAGTACGGTCCTGACGACCGGAACTTTCATCTCGGGCGATGCGTATTTTGGTTTCCTGCAATTAAAGCGGCTGATTACTTGCACACTCGGCTGTTGTTGTTGTTGTTGTTGTTGCCTCAATCTTTTTTTTACGGGCGAGGGCCAAATTACGACCGCGAGTTGATGGCGCTTTCGTCATCCTTGTTCCGAGTTTGAGGAATCTCCAGTTCCGCTTCTTCGCTCACTATGTCTATGCACAGCTCCACTCTGCCGTGATGGCGAAGAGAGCCGTAAGTGCAAAATTTTCGAAATCGAGTTTTCTTCAAAATTCGTCTGAACTCTTTTAGATGAAATTACTGAGACAGCTAAAACAGCAAAATTCATCCTAATTTAATGAAAACGAGACGTATGTAAAAGCCGTAAGTGTACAAAAATGACACAGTTTTTTTTCAAGACAGCCGTAGATGCATGAGAGCCAATGAGAACAGTGCTTTCCAGTATGGTGCCGCCCTCTTCTGCCAATTTCTAACCTGAAAATGTGTTTGTTGTGCGTCCAAAACGCAACCACGAAAGCATGCAGAAGATAGCACTTACGGCTGTCTTGCCTAACAATAACCTAGCATGAAAATAAAAAATACCCTTTTCATGTAATGAAAATAAAATCAGTCGATTTTTAATCACCCATACGATTTCTAGGAGTCTTCCGGACGATTAGTGGCAATTTGACAAGGAACGAAGGTTTTTTTCAATAGGATGTTCTTGTCAGACGCTTCTGAGCCCGTTTTCTCAAAAGTTCATTTTTGCACTTACGGCTCTCTTCGCTATCACGGCAGCACTGTTCTGCCGTGATAGCGAAGAGAGCAGTAAGTGTGAATCCACTCACGTTCAAGTTCGAAGTTCGACCTATCCTCACCGAGAAACCAGTAGTGGCGTGATTTGCGATAAATCGATTGAGCTGCCATTAAAAACTATGAAAAAGGATCGATTTACAGAGTGTTCGCAACGAACACCTTTTTAATCGATTCTTAACCATAGCTTCAAATGGGGAAATATCGATAATCGATCATTCACGCCTCTCCGTCAAGATCCCGGAAATCGGGGAGACAAAGCAACGACTCGTCGGCTATCACTCCGAAGGGCGTTACGCGTCGTCGGCCTGAATATCAGTAACGCAGTCAGTATCAGTATCAGTCAACGCGTTATCAGTAACACCCCTGATAACGCAGCGAGGATGACGTCGCCATCCCGGACTCGCGAGAGTGTGTATCAGTGGCGTTGCGTGCTTCGCGATATATCGATTGATCGGTCATTTAAATCTATGGAAAAGGATCGATAAGCAGGGTGTTCGCAACGGGCACCTTGAAAATCGATTCTTTACCATAGATTCAAATGGGGAAATATCGATAATTGATCATTCACGCCCCGCCACCGGATTCAGAGTGAGCTTCTAGCAATTTAGTAACATGCACTGGGTACGCTCCAGTGCCGAGGCATGCTTTGCGATATATTGATTAATCTGCTATTTAGACCTCACTGAGAAAAAACTATGGCTTATAAACCTATTAGAGGTAAATATGGAACACCACTAATAGTAGTACCTCTACATATAATAATAGCACATATACCTTAGTTATGGTACGGGGTACCTTAATTAGATACAGAGACCTTAGTATGGTTCACAGACCGAGAATCATTAGTTTATTTACGACTATTATAGGTGTTCCATATTTACCTCTAATAGGTTTATAAACCATAGTTTTTTCTCAGTGTATGGAAAAGGATCGATTAACAGAGTGTTCGCAACGAACACCTTAATAATCGATTCTTTACCATAGCTTCAAACGGAGAAATATCGATAATCGATCGCTCATGCCGCGCCACTGGTGAGTGTGGGAAATGGACTTTTCGGGGCGATAACGATAAGCGCCGCGTGGTAGTGCCCTGCGCTGCTACGGAAAAACGCCGTACGAGCCTTCAGGCGTTGCCAAATTCTCTTCGTCAAATCACGAATTTTCGGGAATGTTCATGGATATTTCTCTTCCGATTTTTAGGAGGATTTCGTTCGGAATTAGATCTGAATAGTCTGAAAAATTTTAAGGAAGGAAATTCAAAACTTCCTTCGAAAATAAATATTTTCTGATAGGAAATTTCGCAACATGCGGATACTTGTGCGGTGCGTTTACTTAGCACGGCATAGTGCGTTTGTGCGTGAGATTGGAAGAGCAAACACGACACGCGCACGGAGAGTGGACAGTGTGTATGCGGATCAGTGGCGTGGCGTGAATGATCGATTATCGATATTTCCCCATTTGAATCCGTGGTAAAGAATCGATTATTAAGGTGTTCGCTGCAAACACCCTGTTAATCGATCCTTTTCCATAGATTTAAATGACAGGTCAATCGATATATCGCAAAGCACGCGGCGCCACTGACGCGGATGTTAGCGCGACTGCGTCTGGACGGTTTGTAAGAAGATGGAGCTGAAAGGTTAAGGTGATTCGCCAGGCTCAAGTGACGTGGTCGAACCGGCATGCGATACATCGCATCGATTAGGTCAAAAATCTCGCCAGTTTTTTAATTTCTAGCAAAAGAAGGCCGATAGCCCCTTCGCATGAGCCTAAAGAATCATTCGAAACCCAAAAATTGGCAAAATGGACCACTAGGCAAGGTACGAATTTAAGCAATCTGATAGATGTTTCTTAACCAGAATTTCACGTAGAACACGATTCGCACAACAAAAATTACTGTAACCAACTCCTTACGGAGATATTGACATTTTTATTTCACATTGGTTAGGAGGAATTTGAATTGCCCGCTGACAAGAAACTCAAAGCTCTACGTGAGTCAAATCGCGCACTACAACGGTTTCCGCAAGCTTCTCAATCGAGCAATGTTCATTTCCCACCATGTGTTGTTCAAACTACAAGCAATTTGCTATAGCTGAGCCGAAACGTCAAGATTGAGGTTGCCAGATTTGTGTATCGCTAAGACTGTTAGTTGATGTTTAGCGCGCGATGTGAATCACGTAGAGCATTGAGTTTTCATGAGCGGGTGGTTTGAGTTCACGCATCAAGAATCATTAAATATCTTTGTAAGGAGTTAATTTCGGTAATTTTCCAGGTGCGCATCGTGTTTTACGTGAAATTTTGGTTGAGAAACATGTATCAGAATGCTGAAATTCGTACCTTGACTAGTGGTCTATTCAGA